GCCGGTGGCTTTAGGAAGGTGGAAGAGATGCAGCTCTGCTGCCTGTCAGCCCTGCAAAAGGGTGAGGATAAGGCCAGCAGGATGTGCTGCAGGAACTGGGAGGCGGTGGGAAGGTTTCGCTGCGCTATGGTAATATTACTACAGCATTACGAGGAATCCCCAAATGGCTGATTAACTGTTACATTGTGATGCTGTGCCCATGCGTGATGGTATCTGGGAAAAATGCAGCAAGGCAAACTGATTAAAATACTAACCTGGCATTTCTCTATATGTCTTTGCTTTTTTATCCCCTCTTCTTTTTCTCAGTTTTTTTCTCCTCCTTTTCATTTCCTTCTTTGCCGTTCATTTTCCCTCTTCATTATTTATAAAATTCCCTTTTATCATTTTCTTCCCATCTAGCTTCTTCGTTTCTCCTTTTCTCCTAGCCCCTCTGTGCCCCATATTGCATTTTCCCTTCTGTTAATCAGCCCTTCCCCAGATCCTGACACCTCATGGGAACGGTCGTTCAAAGGCTTTAAGGCCGATTTTACAGTTTTTCCTCTCTTGTTCTTTTCTTATGTGCCTCGCAGGGGTAGGGACTGTTAGCCTGACTGGCAGAGCATTCCTGTTGTGGCTGGTGCTGCTGGTGGAAGAACAAATTTGCTGAAGGTCCCTGAAGGGATCCTACCAAGGTCCAGCTCATATTTGCAGTGTTTCACACACAGATTAAGCACTTCACAGAAAAGCTATTTCGATGCAGTCACAGTGTAATATTTGTGTATAAGGTGGGAATGATGATGGTGCAAGGGGCGCAGAGAGGGAGAAGAATTAAGCAGGCTTTCCAAATGCATCATCGCAAAAATACTCATTTAACCAAGGGGAGGAAAGGATGGCTGTCTCTTTCATAGGTATTAGAAATGGCGTGTTCCTGGAGTTGTTGGTTTCGATTTTCAGCTATGATAGGCCAGCTGTTATGTCATCTGCTGGCACTAATTACTGCAGGACTCACTTAAGCTAATCCTGTTTCTGAAGAAGCCCAGCTCAGCTGCGCAGCTCCAGTTTTGTCACTCCGGCTGGTGGCAAGGAGAGCTCAGTGGCGCCGGGACACATCTCTGAGCCAGCCCCATTTCTCCTGTGCTCCCACCAGCTCTCCCATGGGGTGGCCCACGTGCACGGGGCTCTGGAGGGGCCGGAGGGACCTTGGCAGAGCTGCTCTCAGTTCACCAGGCCGAGCTTCGCGAGAGCCACTGCACAGCCCCGGGCAGCCCGGTCCAGCGGCTGCCTCCACAGCTGCAAGCATTCAGGGGCAGAAGGAAAGAATAGGCATTTTTTAAAATTGGGAATTACTCATTACATCTGGGAGCTCTCTGATGACATGTCCTTCTAGAAGACTCCCCCTATCAAAAGCAAGCTTATTACCAATTCAGTTTATTCTCTCCTATTAGGTTGAACCACAGAGCAGCCGAGCTAAACTGACATCATTGGGTGTTACCCAAAGAATGAAATTATTTATAATTATATAATAATTTATAATAATTATATAATATTCTCCTCCCAAACATTTCTTTTTAAATTCAAAGATAAATTTAAGGCACTCTTAACACAGCAGAAGCCACCACGCCGCAGCCAGAGGATGAGCTCCTGCTCTGGATGCGGGAGCCAGAGCACCCTCCACCAGCTGCCTGTGGTACTCCCTGGGGAGCGATGCTGCAGGGTGTCAGGGCTCCCTGAAGAGTGGGGCACAGCCTGCATGAGGCTCGCATCCCTCATGAACAGTCAGAGGCTTCACAGTGTTCAGGAAGTTAATAATCACTTATGAAGTCAGAAGTTTTTAATGGCTTTTAAACTCAAATTTAATTTCACTTTCAATCAAGTTGTATCAAATTTAGCTTAAGATTAGGTGACAGGCAGTCAGGCTGAACTGCTGCTCTGTACCTCTTCGATTTGCTTTCCTGCCAGCCCCGGATGAGTAGATTTACTTTTTTTTTAATTTGCATAAAGGTAGGGATGAGTGTGCTCAAAAGAAAATGTCTGCATTCCCCAAAGCCTTTGTTATGCAAGTAAGCAAACACCACCAGTGTAAAATACCATTGTGTGACATTTGCAGCACTAAATACCGAATTTTGTGTTGGGCAGAAAATGTTTTTTTCCTGATGCATAGCTTGATTTCTAACTTATTTTCTGGCTTTCCCTGTGACTAGAGAAAGGACGTTGGGGATGATGATAGAGAAACGGGAAAATCTTTGAGGTTCAGATTGGCATGTGTAAATCATATGTTTGAACCTGAGTCAATACCCCAGAAATTATTTTCCCCCAGACTCGATTGGCGGGCATCCCTGTTTGCTTTTTGATTTTGGGTTTTTTCTTGCTTCTGCAATGTGAGTCATAACCAGCTTCCTAGGTCTGAACATTTTTGTTCCTGTCTGAACATTTTTACTTAGTAAAATTAGTGGCCGTGCCCTCAAACATCTCTCTGCTCTCTTCCCCTGGCACGCTGTATTTTATACCGTTTTCAGTCTGTTGTACTAAAAGCATTAAATGGAGTGTTGACAAGCATTTTGTGGTTTATGGCTTGGTAAGCGTAGGAGATGGGCGTTCATTGGACTCCTCTAGGCAGAAATGTCCATAGCATGACTGCTGGTGGTTGCTGGGGCCTGACCTGACTGGTCTCTTCCTCCAGCCTCCCCCACAAAGGGTTACTTTCTTACAAGAACCTTACAGAAAATTTATTTTAATAGTGCCTTGCAGAGTTGGACTTTTAAATTTCAGAGAGTCCAGACCATTGCCCCTGCTCTTGGAGCTGCCGTTTTAAAACAAAAGATGCTATGTCTTTCTTAATTCTAGGTGGGATTTAATCATAGCCTCTGTTACATCTTTTTTGCTCCTGTTCCAGAGGAGCGACTGTTTTACACACAACTCGTGATGCATTTAAACATTTTTTGCCTTAGTTTGAAAGGGTGTCTTACTATGTGCTTTCTCTTGCTGGATGCTTTCATATGCACCTTCTTTCTTTTCCTGGTAATTAAGTGTCTCAAGCTGGTAGCAACTTCCAGACTGCCCCTCTGCCTAAGTGAGTGTAAAATTCTGAGTGTAAGCCTAGAGTTAAACAGAAACAGCTCTTCATTCCTGTGGTCTTACATCTATTCACCAGTTATTATTTCCTCTTGTCAAATGAAGCAATAGCAAAGCTTTGAAATGATGTTGCGGCTTTTCCAAAGAACAATTTCCCTCTCCTCTCGCCTCCTTCTGCCTTTCCCTGTATATTTGATAGTACATCAGCTTTCTCTTGAAATGATCCCCAGTAGAGCACTTCAGCTATTTCAACCGGGGTTTTTCTGAAGGTATTTTTTAAAAACTAGCTTCTACAGCAGAGTTTGGTTATAATGAAGAACAATAAAAAAATCCTTCTGCCTTGGAGAGCCAGTCTTGTACGCACTAATGCATGTGGTGAACACTGTGCCTGGAATATCCCTGCCGGATTCAGTCAGTGGTATTGTTTGCACGCACAGAGTTAAGCACCTGTGTAAGTGCTTGCAAGGTGATGGCTTTAAATCTCACTAGAAGCTAAAAAGATATGCATTGCTGTGCAGGAGAGAATAAACCAAGACAACTCACATTCATTGTCATTTTTTATTTTATTATCTGTGTTTCTAAAGTGGCTGTTACTTAGCAACACATATAATGAAGAGAACAGCGATGATCTTCCAAAGAATTTCTTCACCCCACTCCAATACTTGTCTTCACTTTGATCTAGGCAGGATATTCAGGAAACTTGCGGTCTGGGCAATTTCACAGTGATGCTGGGTGAATATCTGATATGACAGAAGACACCAAGGGCTACAGGATTTAATCTTAGCACAGTTTTTCGGATTAATAAATGACGGAACCAAAACCCCTATAGAGTTAGTTTCTTGCTGTTACTGCAGGATCGAATTTGGGCTTAGTTTGCTCCAGTATTTCTCTTTGATGTAATTGCCTAGGAAATCACAGAACAATAGTCTTTTGAGTTGACAGGATTTTAAATGCTTATGGGTTTGAAAATAAGGACCAGATAAGGACTGTATCAGGAGTCAGATTAATGGCCAGCCTGCAGTGCAGAGATCTTGGGCGAGGTGCTGTCATCGATACCTTTGGCTCAGAGGAGAAGTTATTCTGCGTGGAGTTGTTTGCAGCATGTGAGTGGAGCAGGAGCAGCCTGTCTTTGTGGCCCAAATCTTCACATAAATCAATGGAAATCCTGGCACAGACAGCATATGTTCAATGAAGTTCACAATTTTTACAGCCTTTCTGTACAAAGCTTCATGGTGAACTGAACAACGACTTAGGATGCAATAGGCTATTCACGATATCACAGGGCTTTCCTGGGGGCATTGCTAATACCAGTGCACCGTGCCAATCCAGAACAGCTGAAAAAAAGGATGCTTGGAAAGCTGGAAAGATCTGTGTTCACAGTAACACATGGTGTCAATGAATTGTGCAATGGGAAGTCTGTAAGCATGGATCTTTCTGGGTGCTGAATGAAGCGGAGGAGAAATGATGCCTCTCGGAGCTTTTGTTTCAGACTCTGAGCAGCTTTTGGTATTCATCATCATTTTCAGTTGCTGTATTTTAAGATGTGTCTGTAAACAAAGGACTTCTTAGAAAATATCTTTTTCAAGGGTAGACTGAAAAAGGTGGAAGACTTTATGAAGCAAAAGCTAACAGCTTCCAAAGTATAACAATATAAGCAAGTTAATAAACACTGAGTGGTAGTCATAAAATTCCCTTCAGATTTATATGAGAAAACAATACATTGTATAAAATCATAGAATAGATGACCTTTCTTTCTTTAAAAGCCTCAGCAGTTTCTCTTTAATGGCAACATAGTATTTGGAAATACTATTTCCTAAATAAACAATGTCATACTGCTTAACTTAAGGAAATACACTTTGGTAACAAGAGTTTCAGCGCTTGTTTTTCTCCCTTCCCTTTCTCTAGGACAGTTGCACTGCCTTAAATGAGTTAGCCTAGCCTTGGCTGTGATGGAGGAGGAGGCAAGCCAACTCGAGAAGGACCACGTTCATAGTGTATATGAGAAAATTGCTCTTTATTTCAATGATGCTACAAGGCATGGCCAAAGGTGCAGCAGTTCATTTCAGAGCAGGAACCAGACAGCCTGATTGCTGATATTGGTGAGTGGCGTTGTTTATCACATTGCTAATGACAGTCTAAGTATGTCCTCTCTTTCTATCAAGCAATATTTGTGGCAGAAGAGTTTGCAGCTTGTGAATCAAAATGGCCAGACTGACTATCAAATTTGCCTCCTACTTTGCTTCATCATTCATAGGTATATGAAGACAGTTTGATTTTTCCCAGTATCCAGCAGGTCAACTAAACTGAAGCACTAAACTGAAGCTAAATTTCTTAAGATGTCATTAGTGGATGCTAATTTTGTGTATTAGTATGATAAATCTGGAATTTGAAATCCTGTTTATCTCTTACAACATGTATTGTGTGTGGCCAATTTGAAGCAAGTATCATGACCCTGTCCTGAGTGCTTTGGGGAACAGCGTGTGACAGTTTTTAATTCCCCAAAGGTCTGAGAGTGTCTAAATGGTACAAGGGAAGCCTCTATACAGGCTTCAGCCCCTGCACCAGAAGTGGATACATGCTGGATGCCCAAATGAGATCTGGGCATTAACTCATCATTTCTACATGTTTAGGCTAGACTTCTAAATAACTTTTTGGACCTGTAATCCTTTACAGCAATGCATATGTTAGTCTCCCCACTGTAGCATGGGAACATTTGTGAAAGAGGAAAAATTACTGAGGGTTGGGCTAATCACACTAACTTTTTGTGTGTCATTCAAACTTTACCATATACTTTTCCCAGTTTATCACGGTCTAAATGCTGGGCACTGTATTCCTACCAGGTCTTGGCAGACTTTGCAATGTTTTCAATATGAACAAATAAAACACGTACAAAGAACCAGCACATTGAATTTTTACTGATGTCACAGACTTTGGACTTTGTTAACACTGCAATTTAAGCTCATGCTTGGCTCCTGTGCTTTGGCCTGCAGAGGCTGCTGGCACGCTCTTGTGGTGTCCATGGCCAGAGACAAGTTTCGTGCGTGACACAGTCAACAAGAGTGGTGCCACAGTCCACCTGCAGGGCTCTCCTCTGCCCTCCATCCCTGGGAAGCAGCCTCTAGTGTCGGATTGGAGGAAATGTATTTAGTAGCTGTTGTTTGGCTTATACTGGAGCCTTTCCCTCCAAAAGTGAAAACCAGAAAAAGTCCTGGAATTCTCTTCCACTCAGATCTCCAGGGTAGTCCTCTTTCTGCTCTCTGTCCTTGGAAAATAGGGTTTAATATTAGCCAAGTGCTGGCACCATTTCACAGCACCTCTTCTCAGCTGGTGCTGAAGTCAGGCATGGGAAGGACTATGAAAGCTCCAGCTATTCTCTGGATATCTTTCCTTCATTCCTGGGAGATGGGATCAGCAGTTAATATTAGACCAGCAGTTAGGAGCAGACTTCTATCTGCAGCTCAGCGATGATTTATCTCCCATGCAAATGGCATAACAGATTGATGGGGCTGGGAGGCTCCTTACTGAACATAGGCACCCACACAGGGTTTCAGAATAGGTGCTATGGGATGGCTGTAACCTGAATATAGGGACTTAAATAATTGGAAGGCTCTAAAATAACTGTAATTTTTTTAAAAAATGAATTAGAGATAAAATCTGGGCTCTGACCCAAGCTTAATGTTTGCTGTAAGCGTAGCCATAAACAAGATGTGAACTAAGGTCTGCACAAGGTACAGGGTATTATGCTAGCCCAATGCATTTACCTCCCTGGTCCTAATCTGAACTATGATTTTTATGATGCAAGTGAGAAGGCAAGTTTTTAAAATTAATAATCTACTTTAAAATACACTTTGTGTTAAGATCCAGATAATTCTGCAAACAAATTATCAAAAATTTAGATAAGATCCATTTTACTGCTGACATTAAAATCATTCTTATCTAAAGATGTCTGCCTTTATTTCAACACAAGAAGTATTTCAATTTGGGAAGATGTAAATTTCCATGTCGCTGGCTCCTTTATGAAAAGGAAACTGCATGGAGATACCAGAAAAAGAAACTCCACTGTTGTCATGGTGACAGCAATTAGCAGCCGTTAAAATGGCAAACAATGAATTTAATGGTTTGGTCTAATAGTGACTTAATTACTTAGCAGTCTAGTTTGTCTATCAGCATTTCAATACACAGGAATAATTCAGTGCTGTGCTCCCACTACATGATGCTTTCACTTAGCATTTTGAGTCTATTACAAGCAGAACTGCAGTAGCATCATTACCATAAATATTTTTGATTCTGTAAGTGGTGGGAAGGCCAAGGTAAATGCTCTCTAGCAATCCCACTTGAACACCTCTTGTCACGCAGCAGAGAGCCTGCTAGACAGAAAGGAGCAGTCTGTGCTCATTGTACTGTGATGGTAAAAAATAACCTGAGTTCCACTGCAATTGTATCATCTCCTTAAAATGGGTGGAGAATTTCGAGCTATTAGGCTAGTCAAGGGCATACATCATGGCTTATGTCAGGAACAGATTTTCTTTTGTACAGGCACCAAATGTCTGCCTTTCTTTCTCCTCCTCGTTATTTCTTCAGGCTGCAGAAATGGCAAATACCTTCACATCTATTCTAAAGTCTATAAACTGGGTTGCAACTACTGTTTCCCGTTGGTGGAATCAGCACGAAATGAAGGCCATGAAGTGATGATATGTCATAGCTTGTATCTGCCTTACCAAAGTGAGTGCTTTGATGCTGTCCTGTCCATTGCTGGTAAGTTCTGCATACTGCCAGTGTCTATACGTCAGACCTTGAAAGGGTCTAAAGCATTTAGTCTCTTCTAGGTTTGGGTTTTTTTCAGTGACCAACAGAATTTTTTGGGTTTTGTAGACCAAGTAAATCTATATTAACACAAGGAATGTATATTATTGCAAACTTGGTGAAAAATTGCAAAATGGGTAAGTCATACAGATGTGAGCTGTTTTATTCTGGTCCAAGCACAGCTAAAGTACAATGTGCAAAACAGGAAGGGAGAGCCTTATTTTTGCCTTATTACACGGCAGAAATTTGAAATGTTTGCTCTATCAGGATGAAAATACAACAAAACTTGCTTAGGAACGCTGAGCATATTCAAAGTTCAGTATTAAATCCTTCTGCACCTTTCCAAATGCTGTTTTTTACCCCAGTGCTCCATGGTTTGTCAGCCAACACAATCATTTTTGTGCTGATGGGGATAACCATGACACTGATCTAAAGATTTCAGCCAAATCAGTTACCCATTGCTTCACTGCAGAGAGACCTGTTTCAGCAAAAGCAAAGGATAATGCAAAGAACAAGGAGCCGATGACAAAGCAAGCAGAAGTGCTTGTTTCAGTGGCACTGCTGCCTTAAAATGTTCATCAAATAACCTCAGATTTCATTTCTTGTAAGATTTTTCCTTTTTGTTTAGTTGCCCCTTTCAATGTAACTTAGTGATGGAGGAACTACCTGTCTTTGCCACTTTTAAAGCAGACATTGAATGGTACCTTTAGCCTTTACTTTGTTCTCTTTTAAATTTTGAGGGTTCATTTGTTTTGGGAGTCTTGAAATTACTCAACCACCTTTTAAAAGTTAGGTATTAAGCTTATACTGATTAAAAGTTGAACAATACTGTAAATAAAAAAAATTACAGTGCTCAGCAAATTTGATTTTCCTTTTCTCAACCGAAGGACTGTGAAGGTCTCAGCCCTGTTAAATCAAAGTGGAATGTTAATACCTCACATCTCTTGAAGTTAGTGAGTAGCCTTACACAGCCTCTTCTCTATGTCTCAGGTGACCTTTCTTTAAGCCCTGCAGGACTTCACTTTTCAAGTCCAGGTCCATGTCATATAATTTGACATTTGATGGAAATTTGAGATTGCATTATTGTCACTGGTACATCATTGTACGGGGCTGTGAACCATGCTCAGCTACACTGTCTGAAAATCTTTCAGTCATGATTTAAGAAACGTGACCAATAGCTAACAGTCCTTATTACTGGGTTTTCACATCCTTTGCCCAGATGGAGTAACAACCATCGTGTGCCCAAAGGTGATTTGGCATTCTCTGGCAATCCCGGGTAAGGAAGTGAAGGACAAGCCAGATTTGTTGAAAAGGGTATGTAGCAATGTTCAGAAGTTGTCTGGCTCAAAAGAGTCAGTGCCCCAGGAGTACTTGTGAACAGTCTACAGAAAAGCAGAGTAGCTGGGTGGAGGTCACTGCTGGAGATGCAGAGCTACAGACCTTCCCCTCTGCAGCAAGCTGAAAGCCCTGTTTGCCTGGCTGCTGTACAAGAAGCTAGAATTGGTGAGGAATCCAGAAGAACGCTTGGGCAACAGGTAGAACTGCGTGGTTATGGACTGAGGCCCTTTCAGCACTATAATATGGCTGCAAATTACAAAGTTATTTCCATTGCAGCCTTTGCCATCACAGATCATGCATGAACCATAGTAATGATCATGTTTCCTTATTATTGCTGAAAAATATGGTTCAGATGCATTATAAAGCTTTAAATAATATGTTGAATTATTATATATACTAGTATATAGTATAATACTAGTATGGTATGTATATACTATGGTTTGGGTAAGCATGTGTTCTCTTGATCTTCAGGAGATTGTCAAAGCAGGCAAGAAATTTCTGTAGGTGTTCTCAAGCCAGGTCTGTAGGTAGGAAAAAATATTGGTGGAAGAGAAGTGTCACGCCTAACTTGATGATTTTTCCTTGTGCTCACCACCTCTTGCGTATGCATGTATAATGAAGGATTTTTGCCAGTTCCATGAATGGAATAACCTATACTGACAAGAAACAAATCTGGACATGATATATCAGCAAAAGTTTAGATGTGCTGCTTTCAAACACTTAACTTTCTGTTCAAGGAGACAAATTTGCCCTGTGAGTATGCAATTCATTCCACAATGTTTTCACTGCCTTAAGAAAGAAATCATACTCACTTTCCCAATGTATTCATAGCATAATTTTATTTGAGATTTAATATCAACAACAGAAATCGTCCCCTTTGCTATATCCTGATGCTTTGTTATTGTTAGCATGATGAAGCCATTCCTGTATTACTGAAATAAGTAGGATTTCTGCCACTTGCAGCAATGAAAAGAGGACTGGCACTCATGTTTCCACTTTGGCTAAGGAATTGTTCCGAATCATACTGCAGGACTGATTTTTTAGCATGGCTTTACCTCTGTCGAGGTGGCTTTCTCCTTTATATGGAAAGGTCATGTTCTGTGTTAATAAAATCTTGTATATGCTGAGCTCTTGGACTCTGAGATGGGCAAGGGATAAGAAGCAGCTTTTTCTATTAATTTAGGTAAGTAATTCCTTTCCTCCAAATGCAAAGGTGAAGACATCACATTTTCTTCTCCTATAAGGAGTCAGATCCTCTAGTCAGTAATGTTAGTTTAGATTACTGAAATATCTGATCAGACTCTTCATCCCAGTGGGAAAAAAGGGTTCCTGGAGTGGAGAGCATCAAATGGCTTTCCTTGGTGTTAATACCAATATGTGAAAATTAACTTCGCTTTAATCTGTGATCTTTTAGTCATGTGGTAATTTAACAGAGAAAGTGATGGGAACCTAAGGGATGTAAACCTGTCTAGTCCTCTAATTTACACTGTCTGAGAAAATGGTCTGTGTAATTGCAAATAGTATAATTCTTAAAGTTGACAAGGTGGAAGAGTCTCTTGGGGAAAAAAGAAGTCCAAATAAAAGGTGCAGGAGAGTTTTCTTACTATATAAGGTTCTGTCTTTATGGTAAAATTCAATGGGACGCTGAGCAAGAAGAAACCAAGTGTTAGTATCAGATCATATCAGTGTAGTTACATTGCACTGTTGTGCCAATTAATATGGGCACAACATTGCAATGTCGTCATGACATAGTTTCTTTACCCCATAAAGAAACCTCATATTTCTGTGCAACCTTGGTTATTTATGCGTAACACTGAGTTTTGTCAGATAGGTATATCATCACTACCTGCCAGTTCTCCTAAATTCTGTTTTCCCTAAGGATCAATCAGGATTACATTCTAACAGTTTTTTAAACTTTTTCCAACATTCCCTAAAATAAGCAATATTAAAGGCACAACAAGCAACCTGTCCCAGTGGAAAGCAGAGTATAATGAGGTCTGGTATGACAGCATCAGGAATTCTTTAATGCCATAGAAATTGAAAAAAAATCATCAAAAGCCATGACTATCAATAATTATAAGGGATGGTGTGAAGAACCAAAGTCAGGATGACTACAGCATAACATGCATTAGAAGTAGGATAAGGTTTTATAAATGCATACAAAGCAAGAGGAAAACAAAAAGGAAAGAAGAGCAAATAACAGATGACAGGGGAAGTTGCATTTTTCTTTGGTCTTTACAAAAAGTTAATAGTAGTCATCAATAAGTTAGTAGAGTTTTAACCAGAGGACCCGAGTTTAGACTATAAAAAGGAAATAACGTCTTAAAGAATATTTAGAGAAATTAGGTTACACAAATTGTTAGGAAATCATGAAATTAATCTTAAAGTACTGTGAACTAACAGCTTATCTTTAAGATCACCAGCAAGTGAAGAAAAGCAAACATCATACTTGTTTCCAAAAGAGAGAGAAAGGACATCAAGAGGAAGCCAGCCTGACTTAGATTTATGCAAGTATACTAGAATAAATAATTTAAATAATCTAATTTAAATGGAATAAATTATTTAAACCTACAGAATACTAATGTAATGGGAAACAGCCAACATGTATTTGTCAGGAGCAAGCCAATCTGCTTTCTGTCTTTGACAGGGTAATCATCCCAATAGACAGGGTAGCAGGAGAAGACATGATGTATCTTGTGTCACTGTTGCAAGTAAAATAAGTAAATAGAGCTAAGAATACAGAAAAAAATAATTCTCAAAATGGATCAGTGGTTCACTGTCCGATCAGGACACATTTCAAATGGGATGCTCTTGGGACCCACCCTACATCTGTTTCCATGCAAAAATTTAATTAATAACTTTGATGGCAGGCTAGAGAGCATATTGAACCATTTGTGAACAGCTCCTATGTAGGAAAAGTTGGAATTATTTCGGAAGATTGACATCCAAATGATGGAGAGTTGTCTGAAATCAACAAGAAGAGATACAGAAACCATCGAGAGCAACGTACCATGCTTGGGAAGGAATCATCCAATGGACAAAGTGAGAAATAATGGCCAGGCAAGATGGACCACAGGCCAAATACATGTAAGGAGTGTAGTGCTGTTACAAACCCAGGCAAATACCTGTCTGGGGTATGGTGACAGAGCAGTTTCATGGAAGGCAGAAGAATGAGTCACCCTCCTGTGCTTGGTACTTTTGAGATCCTAGGTGGAATTTCATACCTGCTTTTAGGGACCATGCCTTAAAATGTTTGCAATCAATATGGAGACATTTTAAATAACTGAAGTTTAGAAAATCTGATTTATTAGAGGAAACCAAAGGAATTGGGTTTGGTTAGTCAAGAAAAAAAAAAAAAAAGAAAAGAAAAGACTGAAGGAAATGTAATAGTCTTCAAATACTTAAATGATTTTTACAGAAAGCTGATATTACTTTTACATAGAAAGAAAAAAAATAATCATCTTAACATGCAGCAAAGGTTATTTACCTCAGATATTAAAAGGCTTTTAAGACCAGGTTAGACCAATTTGGGTCACATTTGGGCCAAGTATTTAATTCTGCCTTGGAGCTGGAAAATGAACGACCTCTATTTTTCTATATCTATTTTAATATAA